CTCTGACATTAAACGCGGAGCTGAAAAAATTAGAGGAAAACTTGCAAGACAATGCTTCAGACAATTCTATACCAGTGGAACAGATCGAGAGGGCTGTTGGTATGTGTCAATTTATAAACATAAATTGTATGTATCTGTGCATTTTAAACATCCTACATTTATTTAGATGTCCCACAAGAGGAATTGCCGCCTGGCAGAGATTCGCCGAAACTTGTTCATCGTACATCGTCTATAACTACGTAAGTTAATTGAACTAAAACAAAATATTACTTCATTGGTGTGAACCGTGAAAGGTTTAATAAATGTGTTTTAAAACGTGTCAGTTCTGCGGGCGAGGCGGGGCTGGGCCGCATCCTGCTCTCGCTGCGCTACAGTATGCAGCATCAGACGCTTTACGTTGTTGTACATAAAATTATGTAAGTTACACTTATTGCACACTAGCTTTCGTCCGTGACTCCGTCGGCGTGGAATTAAAAAAAAAAAAGTATAGGCCTTTGTGTCCTTCCAGACTATTCTCTACATCTATGCCAAATTTCATCGAGATCCCTCCAGCAGTTTAGGCTACAAACTCTAACAAACATCTATCCATCCATCCATATAAACATTCTCATTTATAATATCAGTAAGATAAATAGTAATAGGTAATGCTTAGTTAGAAATTGTATAAATGTTAGTTTCTTTACAGTATGTAATTGAAGTAATAAATGATATGTTCCTTATTCTGATTAAAATATCCTCCACAGGAACATACCCCTTAAGGACCCGACCAATGTGCCGGACCCTTATGTCAAGTTGTACTTGTTGCCGGGGCGCTCTAAGGACTCTAAGCGTAAGACTGCGGTAAGATAACACGTCTTTCCACTTACACTCGTAAATGTTATAAAAACATATGAATAATTTTTCAGGAATGTTTCGTAAGATATCTGTCAATATAGACAAAATTCGCAGTAAGATTTCATATTTATTTAATTGTTGATATGGTTGTAGGTAGTGAAGGACAACTGCATGCCAGAGTACGACGAGCAGTTCGAGTGGGTG